AGTAATGTGTTAGTTACTGACTTCCCATGCATTCCACGAAAGATGCCTGACGTCTTTTCCTCAATTATCCATATCGACTTACTGACAAACTTCAAACCAAAAAATAGAGAGCCTGGTCAAAATGGCCTTCAGAGCGACCACAGTATTCACTTCAAACAAAATCACAAATTTGGTAATGTTTTGGAATATTCGTAGCTCGGGTGTATTGGTTGGTAATTGATCAGGTGGCTGTTGATCTGTTCGCCGAGCTTGGCAATTGATTTGCAAACGTTTCGTCATCATTCGAGGAGACATCTTCAGTGCGCTGTTGGTTGGGTAGTTCCTCTCTTCGTGCCTGCGTTTATATAGTCTACAAAGAGCAGCCTTTGCGCTGTAACCTGGATTCTGATTGACCCGTTCTTGATCTGTATTGCGTCGTGGTCGGCTTCTCTTCACGATGGAAGAAGAAAACAACAAGCTGGCGGTTTTAGATGTCCTCGTCACAAGGTTGCCGAACGGACAAATGCAAACGGAAGTCTACAGAAAAGCTACGCACACGGATCAAATTCTGAGCTACCACAGCAACCACCCAAACTGCCACAAAGAGAGCTGCATCCGGACACTATTCAAGCGAATTGAAACACACTGCAACACAGTAGAATCTAAAGTAAAAGAAGAGAAACGCCTATACAGAATGTTTCAAAGGAACGGTTACCCAAGGAATTTCGTCTGGAGATCTCTGAGAAAATGCAATTCAACCAACGCGACAACCAGAAACACAAGCAAAACAATCACATTACCATATATCAAAAACATTTCGGAGATGACCGCCAGGATATTACAACGGCATGCCATAAAAGTGGCCCACAGACCGACTGACACGCTGCAAAGTGTACTATCAAAACCAAAGGGGCACTTAGTGCAATGGAAAAGACAAATGTAATCTACAAAATTCAATGCAATGATTGTGAAAAACACTACGTGGGACAAACAGGGAGGAAACTGTCAACCAGAATCACCGAACATAAGCTAGCCACCAAGAGACATGACCAACTCTCTCTCATCTCTGCACACGAAGATGGGGAAGGACACCATTTCGATTGGAATAACGTCAGAATACTGGGCCAAGCAAGAACAAAGAAAGAACGCGAGTTCATGGAGGCGTGGTACTCCACTGGTGGAGCAATAAACAGGCACATTGAGATTGATCCTGCCTACCAGCCTCTGAGGACAAAGGAAATCCAGAACCACAGAACCCGAGGCCGGACAAGGACTCAAAGAAGAAATCAATAGAACAGCAGGCTACTAAAAATAGGAGGCGCGCCACACCCAACAGAGAAGCCGACCACGACGCAATACAGATCGAGAACGGGCCAAATCCGAATCCAGGTTACAGCGCAAAGGCTGCTCTTTGTAGACTATATAAACGCAGGCACGAAGAGAGGAACTACCCAACCAACAGCGCACTGAAGATGTCTCCTCGAATGATGACGAAACGTTTGCAAATCAATTGCCAAGCTCGGCGAACAGATCAACAGCCACCTGATCAATTACCAACAAAATCACAAAGTGACAGACCCATTCAAGCGCTTGGTACAATGTGGAGTCAGACTACACTCTATCACACAACAAAGGCGGATATATTGTTGTAACCATCAGCTTGCAAGTCAAATGGGATAGTCAACTGGATGACCTTGATCAGCAGAGAACAAAAACAATCCATTAGTGTCCCTTTAACAATGGTAACTGCAACTAATATTACAACCCAAGGGTAAATTTGTGAACTAAAACCTATAACCAGCAACGAACGTGGTGTACACCACGTGCCGGACGATTCCCTTGTGAATCGGAATGATGCCTTTGAACATTCCTATTTTCAAATCGCACTTTTTCTAGGTGTACCGGAAATTATCATCCTCCAATGGAAGATCTCCAGAAAGATTGAAAATTACTTTGATATTGACACTAGTAGTTTATTCAGAAAGGCTCTACTTTTCATTTAATAGCACGAAATTTCACGCACTCAGTAACATTCTAATTTGTCACACCTCTCATGTTGAGTGGAGAGCATTGCAGCTTAATGCCACTTGACTCGAACGTTTGTGGCGCGTGCATGCCCGCAAGAGCCAAACGAGGTGATACTTAAGCGGGGAGTGGACGTCCGATACACAAACGTTTTTGAGTGTGTGTATTACCTATCCTAAAAGAAAGTTGCTCAAATTTAACTTGAGCAGACGCGTGTTAGCTGTTCGTACTAGCTACTTGCGTCGCAACTTTTTGCTCTCCTACTTGCGTGTAGTTCTCCTACGTGTGTGGGAATCAACGCCTGGTCGGCCGATAGAATTACAAACTCTTCAGAGCACGCTTACAAGAGTTCCTATTTTATAGATTGAACCCCCCACCCCACAGTCTAAGGCGCATGACCTTGTTAATTGCTCTCACAGAGTCACACACCATAGGGAAGATAGGATAACATCTGGCGACCAGTGAAATCTGAGGCGACCGCTGCGACATGACAGAAGTCTGGAGAGGACTGTTTGGGTTAAAATGTGGGGAGCACATGATAAAGCCCCAGTTTTTATTTGCTTGGCTAAACCACTGGTAACCTTGACGATGCGAGTGAGAATTGACAGAAGATAGGATACTCCCTTTGGTGAAAAAGAAGTGCTTTAAGATGAGGTATCGGTTAATTTCGATCCATTGATTGTACTAAGGCAGGTAGTGGTTCGTTGACTTTGCCACTCGATTACCAACCTTTCATCATCAAACATGATGCCAGCACCAACAAACCGTCACCCATGAAGCTTTCGCAGACAAACTGTCCATATTTATGCATTATTTATCATTACGGTTTCCAAAGTCAAGTCATTTTTATTGTTGTCCGAATTCCTGATTCAAAAGACCACACCAGTTTAGCGCACTTAACTGATCAGTGGTCAGAGCAGCTTTCATGAATCCATTCAAGGAAAAAATCCCAAATTGCGATGTCTTGCCTTGTATTTTATTAGGCAGTAACTGCGAAGGTGAATATACAAAAACTGAAGTTATCCAATTGTTAGTCTTGTTCAAATTTGCGCTGCGTTTTTTGCTTTCAATGTGTGTAGGTTGCTCAGCTCTCTTCATTTGCAAAATAACGTGTGTCTGTGGTGGTGTGTGTCTGTGTGGTCACACAGAATGAGGTGAATGTGGCAATCCTTTTGCTGGTCACACAGAATGAGGTGAATGTGGCACTGCTACTCTTAACTTTAAAGCATTTCATTTTCGAGGTTGGAACTGAAGTTGTACAGTCGTCAGCAGTCAGCACACGGTTTTTCTTTGACTATTCCACACGCTCATGAGACCTCGTGCTTCACCATTATTCGAACCCAGTTTTCCCAGCCCTCCAGGTAGAATTTCCCCAATAAGACAACTTTATTTCCTTGCGATATGATGTCCTCAGAGGAATCACATCCTAAATAAGAGAAACGAGCTTTCTTATCCCCCGGAACAGTGTTCTGACAAATACCGGGATGAAAAATATGTGTTGAGTATTTGCAAACATGGTCTTCTAGTGGATACCTCACTACTGGCGTGAACACGTTACTTCCCATACTAGTTGAGGCTTATAAGCACGATATATTTAGATGCATAGACCACAACTACCTTGGTAATCCCTCAAAAAATTTTCTGGATTTCCAAAAACCCATAGACCATCCCTCTTTATTCCATAACTCAGCATTCTATCGCTGGTTTATTTCCATTATAGCTCTTGTTGACTACTTTCCAACATACTGGGACAATGTGTAGCCATAGCGGTTTTATGAAGGTCTACTGGGGTCTGACAAGGTAGCAGTAATCACGAAGAGAATAACTGCACACAGTATAGCGCATAATGACAATGGAGTGTGTAACACAAGTCCCTTGGCACCGAACGAACTTAGATCATCCCGATTTGTTTACACACTTAATTAGCGAGATCCAAAGATTTGTTGCAGTGAATGAATATGCACATTAACAGTGCCTTACAACGCGAATCAAAAACGCCCATCTTGAAGTTGCAGACATGACAACACAAGTCGGCATTTTTATAAACAAACCGATTGCAGTTAACCACGGTACTGAATGTATCTTACCCCCTTTAATGCTTTGCATAGTCAGACCTGAGACCCCCCGTTCGAGTTTCTTGCATAGTCTCCTGCAATTAGATGGTGTAAAATTACCTTACCACACTGAATCCCAGAATCCTTCATAGCAGAGTCAAAAAACGACTAACGTGACAGGGATCGGTGTGTCGATGTTTTAAATGCCCCAGCACACCATATCGGCCTAGAAGGCAGCAGGTTGGAAGGGTGATCATGAAAAGATACTTTCTAGATGAGCAACAAGGAGAGAGAATTTGTGCGACCAGAAGTATTCGCACCAGTTCATGTCTAACGGGCCGTTACATTAGGAGAACAGACCAGAAGCATTTACATCCAAGCCCGTTTGACATCGTTCTTTGAGCTGGATATAACGCCTATCGGGGCTGGTGCCCACATTCGACATGATTGACCTGGTTGTACTGCTACAATGCATGCTTACAATTATTAACGTATATGTTTGACCTGTTTTTGGATGCCCCACAGAGTGAAGATTCACGCTGTTTGTGTTCACATGGTAGTAGTAGGTCCCTAGCGAATGGAGGACGTAAAGTACACAGAACGTGCGTTTCGCATCCGTGTTTAATACAGGCATCCTCATGTACCTGTTTCTGATGATAACTACAAGTTACTTCTTGTCCACACTGATAACTGGACGTCTTTTGAGAAGACCGTAAAAAACCAACAATCCCTAGTTTCGCAGTATATGGTAAGAATTAGCAGGTTGCCGATAAATTGAGAAGAACCGCATCACTTCATTCCTTGACGTTTACGGTCCATTTGATGTATTCTGTTAAACCGATCCAGATTGGCCTAGAGTTGCCTTAAATGTACATTTTTGGTTAGCTTGATCTTCAGTTCAAAGAGAGAAAGCATGCTTTTAATTTTTACCGTTAAAATAGTCTACATTTTCCCCGAAAAAATACAGTTTGCATAGGTGGGATATCAACACTTCTTTGCTGTTTCTTCTTTATTCTCCCTAGTTGACAACCAGAGGGTCAGTATGGCAAAAATTCACCTCCACCCAATGGTGGTTTGCGTGGTTCAACCAATTTCGGGTTTGACGTCACTTTATTGTTATTGTGAGATTCAGGATACGGAAGAAGATTGCGCCAGATTGACAGCACTGAATTTGCTTGATGCACCAGCAGTTTCTCTTCCAGTATTGTGCGATATTGGCTGATATCGCATCTTCTTGGAGTAGAAAGCATCTTCATACGGTAACACTTCATCCGGTCTAGTGTTCCGCTCAATACTTCCATCAGCACATAGCAAGTTGTGTTCACCGTTGCGTTTGAGCATCACTCCATGATGTGTCCTAGATAGAAACAGTGTATTTTTAATGAAATAACATGCGTTTAGTCAGAGCTTTCAAGTGCTCTTTCATACAGAAAAGGATGTCTTACTTTATTACTTGGACGCATATTATTATCCTACGAAGTAATCCGCGATGAACCGAATTCTTTGGAAGGGAAAGGTGGCATTCTTGACTTTTTTTTATCTCGAAAGGTATTTCAAAACTGACAAACCTTCGGTTTTGCCGGGGCTAACCAACAATAGAAGGAGTCAAAAGTAGATAGGGTGGGATGGCTAGGAGATCCCGAGAGGGACCAGAACCTACTGTACTATGTACTCAGCATTCCGACAACGAACAATTTCTTAATTCGGTCCGGGGAGTACGAAGCACGTTACGAACCTCAAATTTCGTTGCATCGTTGCTGCTGCAGACATGCAAAACTGTCCCGTGGCGTCAGATATCCGGTGCCCCTCAAAAGTGATTGATGTCAGATGACATTAGCACATAAGTCATGTTTGGTTGAATATGGAAAAACTATTTTTCTCAACAGAACGTAAACAGCTGATCGTATGCCATTTGAACAGTAGCGAATAACGAGTGGTATTTTAAGCATAAAGACCTGACCAGGAAAAATTGCTGATTAAAGACAAATGTTTCTGTGATAATGCGGCCAGGGACGCAGGCATTTCGAAGCTATCGATGTCGGACTAATAAGGATTTCTAAGCTGGGGCTTGTAGTACGGAATCAGATAAGGAGCTGAAGGCTGAATTTTGTGGGTGGTTCCTTACGGCACAAATGTTTTTATTCCAATCACGTGCCTGAATTTCAAGTAAAGAGCTGCATGGTCGTTGCAAAAATGAGTACACAGCAACCTTGGCACGGGATATACAAGAATGATGACGTTAGGAAAATGACCCTCGAAAAAAACAAGAATATTCATTTTGCAGCTTGTGGTTCAGTCCAAAATTTTCAAGCATTTTTCTAAAACAGTCGCACCTCAGTCAATCACCCAAAGATACGCTTTCCTCATCAATAAAGCATACGGCACAGAAGTATTACTGAAAGGCAAAATGAGTTCAAGTTCAACTCACTCCCTCAAATTCAAAAGTTAATTAACCTGACAGATATTACGTTTTGTATCACCCTTTGATTTCTGATTTCGGTGCGCGTATGCTTGGATGTGATGCACTATTAAGCCAGTCTAAAAAACCGAAGTGAATGGGCTTCCAGCCTTTGCGTTGATCTAGATCCTAACACGCATTGAAAGTTACGTCAACAGAAAGAATAACTTCTCTGATGTACTGAGTATAACATGCGTAATCGAGCTGGCAAACTCTGGCAACAGCACCAACCCAGACATCATCGGTGGCTTTCAAATATGCATTTTGAACCGGTCATGGAATAGCACTTGCGCTTTTGGAAAGGATATCTTACATCCAATTTGAAGATTCCTAAACCTAAACGAACCAAATTGACAGTGTACAGAATCACATGAGCTGGTCATCTAAAAGGACTGCATCCATTAAAGTTTTAATAGGAGTTAAAAACTTACCTAGAACCATCAATCTATGGTACTATGTTACAAGTGCAAACATTTTGCACTCAATCACTTAACATCGGTAATCAGACCGTTTGTCCAACTTAGTCATCTCACGGTCAGTGAAGTTTAGCAATCAGTAAGAAATTTAAAATTCAACTGGACGCCGAGTAAGATCATCTGGTTTAATCTAGTGTTGATCAGCCGTTTGTACGGGTTGTAATGGTTAGGTAAACGTGTGGTAGCAAAAATCGAGACTCTAGATTTTTCGGACGAGTGTATATTTCCCTCTTAAATGTTCATGCTTGAATAGGAGTACCTTATTTCTGAACCTGATGAATGGCGTTTGATGAAATATATATGGTAACTATATACAGGGCGCGTATGTGTCCCAGCCTGTAAAGATACTTAAAGGGATTTCGCTATTTGGACGTAACATGTAGAGGCTGAGTAACTTCTCACCCAAAAACTCCTTTTTCAACCAAATGTGGGTTACAGTGCGCAGTCTTCAGGCTGTGTTGGTCATCTGTCATTTTTTTCGTCGAATAGTCACACGGCACTTCAATCTTCATCTTGCCACGCTTACTCACGGGTCCCGACTGCTGTATAATTACAAGACAAATATCATTGGTGGTCAGCTGTCTGCAGGCCAGACCCCACTTTTGTTCGGTCATCTTGGGATCATTGGACGACCAACCGAATTCATTCACATAAAACGGTTGTTCCGGAGTTGCTTCTAGGCTGAGCCTTCTGTCGTGCTGAAAAAGACAGGAATACAAGATGAGAAAAAATGTCAGTAAAGAATGAGCTTTCTCGTTACTAGACTGGCAGTCCTTTAAGCACGTGTTCCAAGACAGTCAGTTCTTTCGATCTATCTGTAGAAATCCGCTCAGTAACAGTGATTTATTGTGAGTATCATCGTGCTGCCTAATGAGACAAAGCGCTTGTGACGATAGCAAGTGGAAGCTAATTTGCTACAAAAAACAGTCGATTGCAGTATCATTAACACTAGAGACTGAACTTGACTATGATCTGAACAAACAGATGCAGGAACAGTTCCAAAGGGGGCGTCACAATCCTGTTAACATAAAATTTCAGCGGGTTTTATGGCCTAGCTTGCTTCTGCAAGGAAAGCATACTCCCATATTCATTCTTCATCAATAACTTTAAAACTTGCAACATCTGTTAAAATCGTCTCAATTGACTTTGCGATGACACGTGAAGGAGGGATAGCCTGAAGTGACGCAATATCTTCTATATTGCAGCTTGATGTAAGTGTTCAGTTTAATATGAGTTCACTAAGCAATTCACAAGACAACAACTCGGTGCTGCTAATCGAATACTGGCTTGGTAGCCCACTGTCGAATTCAGGCCTATGGAAGTTTTGGCATTAAGGTGTCCATCTACTTGGACTGTGCTGATTGCAATCTCCTGTTTTTAATGAAGATCAGTTTTAGCCAACTTGTCAACACGCATTTCTCACCCAGCATGACGCAAAAGTCATGGTTTACTAAAGGTTTTCGGTGCAAATGTACCGCAATATGGGTAGAATGCCGCAAGTTGGGATACAATCTAGTAGTAAGCGACTGCCTTATGGTATTTAATGGTTATTATGTCGTCATTCGTAGAGCTCCTTCAATCCACTGAGTCGTACGGCGTATCAGGATGATATATATCTTCTACGTAAACAGCTATACGAAGTTTGGTAGTTGGTTACCTTCCACTAAGGCGATTTCACGAACATACATTCATCTGTAAAGCAGAACGTGGATCACATTTCTACACGCTGGGTTTGCTTGTGTGACTGGATTCCCGCATTTGCACAGAAGACACTTCGAAGTCATACGATGGAGCGTAAGGTGTATCCAATCTGTCCACTTCTATTCTAATTACCCGGAAACCAATTAATCTGAAGTTCATTTGAGTGGCTGAGAAAAGACCTACTCAAGGACTCCCCAAATCCGATGAGCCCGAGGATGAGGAATTAATGTCAGGTTAAACCAATTGTGCAGAGCGTAAACAAGTTCCAGTTGTGTATTAACTGTTAAACATAGATTGGGGATGAGGATTGGGGATGGAATCATTCACTTGCCTTGGATTGCCTTCGTGACTCTAAACCTGATGAATCGGTCGGGGGG